TGCAGAGATCGGGCCGCCCAGGTCGGCCAGCCTGGGCCAGGCCCTGGAAGGACCTGGGCCTGGCATGCAGAGATCGGGCCGCCCAGGTTGGCCAGCCTGGGCCAGGCCCTGCAAGGACCTCCGGCTGCTGTGAGCTGAGCTGGTTTCCAAGGGCATTGAGGGCCACACTGTGCCCAGCGGGCAGAGATGGGGCCAGCCTGCCCAGGTCGGCCAGCCTGGGCCGGGCCCTGGAAGGACCTGGGCCTGGCGTGCCGTGCCTCAGGCCAGCCCACCTGCAGAGCACCGCGCCGGGGAGGCGCCAGCCGCCCACCCAGCCCCAGACGCGTCCGCGCCGCCTGCTTCTGTCTTTGGAATCGCTGGCTGGGAACGGAGGTGGGGAGGCCCCGATCGGTCCCCAGAAATGTGGAGTCACTGGTGTGCAAGATCTGCCCACAGCCCGGGAAGTCGGGTGTCTGCCCCCCGCCGCCACTTACCCGTGTGTGTGTGTGTGTGTGTGTGTGTGTGTGTGTGTGTGTGTGTGTGTTACATTCACTAGGACAGCTCTTCCAGCCTCCTGGGATCTGCCTCTCATCTCTGTGAAGTGGAGGGAGCCCGGGGTGGGGGGCCGGCCGGGGGAGGGGGGCCGGCCGGGGGTGGGGGGCCGGCCGGGGGAGGAGAGGTGTTCACACCCTGCCTTGAAGAAGGAAAAAAATCCAGCTCTGGCTGCCGCTTCCCATTAGCCACAGAGGGTCAGACGTTTCCGGAAGGCTCTCTACCCTAGGCAGTTTTGTCTTCTTGCCTGACCCTGGCCAGGCTCTGTCCACCTCAGAGGGTGAGCTGCGTCCGGGCCCTGGGTGGGGCAGGCAGGACTGTGCCCTGCGGTGCCGCCAGGAAGCCAGAGGCCTCCAGTCTGAGCGACTGCCCATGTTTGTGCTCACTGACCGAATGGACGCACGCCAGCCCCGACCCCCGGATGGCTGTGGAAAGGGGCTTTCCCCATCGGTCGAGGTCCCTGGAGACCCCCGGGCAGCTCAGCCCCCACACACACCATGGCTGATGCTACAGGTGGGGAGCAGGGTGCGGTGCCCTCTGCCAGCTCCACCCAGCCTGGGGACTTGAGAAACAGCCTCGATCCCTGAGTCTGGAGCCACACAGCCCCCCCAGCATGGAGGACAGCCCCCCAGGACCGAGGACAGCCCCCCAGGACCGAGGACAGCTTGCCTCAGGATGGACAGAGGTCGCGGCTGGCGTGCGTGTGTCCTGTGCCTGCTGTACGCGTCCGTGCCGAGCCCCACGGCTCACGCCCGTGCCCCTGGCTTGTACATACGTGAGTGCTGAAGCACACCCCGGACCCCACGTCATCACCACCCCGATGTTCCGACTCCAGGTCCCTGCTGTGTCACAGCGAGTGTTAGCTATAGGCCCCTGTACTGTTTGTGTGCACTTAAGGCTGTGTCCAATTAAGAAATAAACGTGGCTCTTGCGCAGTACAAACCGTGGATCCCGGCTGAGGCTTTGTTCCTGCCTTCCCTGGCCAGACGCATGACCCCAGGGCAGAGAATGGGGAGGGGACACCGCTGAGGGGGAGAGGTCACGGGGGGAGGGGTAGCCCAGAGCCCTCGCTTCCCTCACCCCATGCAGCACGCCGGTCTGAGCCTGTGTGGGCCAGGCTGCTGCATCGCCCTGGACAGCCCCCGGGCAGGAGATCTCAGCCTCAGGATGTCCAGTTTCTGGGGTGTGATCCTTGCTCACAGGGCCCTGGCCCTTGGCAGAGGCCCAGCTGGGAGGAGCACCACTGGACCCTGGCCACTATGGTCTGTGGACAGGAGGCAGTCTGGGCCTGGGGTACGGGTGCTGGCAGGGCCCTGGGCCCACAGACTTGAAGTGAGCACTTTTATGGACGTCAGATGACCGCTCACCTCCTGACAACTGTAGCTTCCCAGGGGACACCTGGGAGGGGGCTGCAGACTTGAGGGCTGGGGCGACGTGGTGCCATCCTCTGGCTGCGGGTGGCACTGCAGCCGCTTTCGCCTCCACAGCAGAAGAGCCGTGGAGTCGGGATCTGTGCTGCTGCCCACTGAGCACAGGCCAGGTTCTGGGCAAGGGCAGAGTGCAGCGGCGGGGGCAGGAAGCCCGGCTGAAGAGATCAGGTGTCCCCGCCCGCTGCCCCAAGACACAGCTACTGGTCACTGCGAGGATCAGCCTGAACATGAGTGGGCGCTGCCCAGGCTGGCCAGCACATGCCCCGGGGCCCTGGGGCACAAGCAGGGCCACGCCTGAGCGGGTGTGACGTGGCCTCTCCCTGAATTAGGAAGGAAGCCAGTGTGTGCTGAGCCGCTGCACTGCTCTTCTGAACGTGCACTGGGACATGGAGCAGCCCTGGCCCTGGACCACCGCCCACCCGGGGGAGGGAGGACTGCCAGGAGGGAGGACAGCGGGGCTCTGCAGGGCTGGGTGGGGGCCACACCCACCGGCTCCAGCCGCAGCCCCGCAACACCCACCGGCTCCAGCCCCAGCCATCTAGAGATGTTTGTCTTCCATGAGGCCCCGGAGCCAGAACAGAGGCCGCGACAGGAGTGTGTGTGCGCGAGCGCGCCTGTGTGTGTGTGTGTGCGCGCGTGCACGTGTGTGTGTGTGTGTGTGTGTTGGTTTTCTGAGATGCTGTCTTCCTGTGTAGCCAGGCTAGCCTCTTGAGATCCTCCTGCTCTGTCTTCTGAGTGCAGGGATTACAGGTATCTGCCACCACGCCCAGTTCCCCCTCCCTCCCTTCCTTCCTTCCTTCCTTCCTCTCTTGTTAATTTTTTAAATTATCTTTAATTACACCAAGGGTTTTCGGTTCAGCATGTCTGTTTATGAGCGCAATGCATCTGGAGCAATATCACCTCTTTCATCCTTCTTCCTTCATTTACTTCTTTTTTGGGGGGGGTCCGGTCGTGGGGCCTGAATTCTGGGCCTGGGCACTGTCCCTCAGCTCTTCATCTCAAGGCGAGCGCTCTACTACTTGAGCCACAGAGCCACTTCCGGCTTTTTTCTTTTTGCTTATGTGGTGCTGAGGAATCGAACCCAGGGCCTTGAGCATGCAAGGCAAGAGCTCTACCACTGAGCCACCT